GGGACAGCGAGCTGTACCGCCCCGCCACCTTCACCGCCCTGGCGCCAGAGCTGCTGGAGCTGTTTGCCCGAGCCCAGACGCTGCCGGGGCAGGCTGCCGAGGGCGCCGGCAGCCCGCAGCGCCGCCGGCGCAGCAGCAGGGGCACGGTGGCAGGTGGCGAGGAGGAGGCGGCGGCGGCGGCGGCGGCCGCCGCCGAGGTGGCTGCGGAGCAGCAGGCGCCGTGGGGCGAGGAGGGCGCGCTCGCCTCGCCGCCGCTGTCTGGCGCCTACACCGCAGGCGGCGGCAGCGACTACGGCCCTCTGTCTGTTGGCGGCGTGTACGATGAGGAGCTCATTGAGCCAGCCGACACCCAGCAGGAGCAGCAGGCGGCCTTCCCGGGCGAGATGGAGGAGGAGGCGGCGGCGCCAGGCACCGCGGCCGAGCGCCGCGCCAAGCTGCACCTGCACCCGGTGCTGGGCAGCGGCGAGGCGCTGGGCGAGCTGGGGTCGATAGGTGCGGTGCTGGTGCGGGGGGGGAGCCAGGGACGAACAGGGGTGACGGCATGGCTGCACCGCCTCCCCGCCACCTCCCCATCCGCTCGCACGCCTCCTCAGCCTCTCCTCACCCACCCCCCTGCCTCCACCTCTCCCCGCCTCCGCGCCCCGCTCCCTGCAGGACCCGACGACAGCAGCGCGGCACGCAGCGGCGGCTCCAGCGCCGCCGCGCAGCAGACTGCGTTCACCAAGAACACCGCGCTGGTGCTGGAGCACCTGCGCCGCGAGCTTGCGCCCTCGGCGGGCTCCAAGCGGCGCCACCCCTCGCACGGCGACCTGGCCGCCGGCATGGCAGCGCTCAGCCTGGACAGCCTGCTGGATGCTGGGACTGCGGGGGGCGGCCGCCGCGGCCGCCTGGATGCGGCCAGGTGGTTTTACGAGTCCCTGGTGCTGCGCAACACCGGCTTTGTGGCGCTCAGCCAGGCCCAGCCGTACGGCGACATCGAGATCCGCCCCACCGCGCAGCTGTTGCAGCCGTAGGGCCGCTGTTGTTGGTTGGCCTTTTTTGCTGTGTTGTTTGTGTTTTGTGTCGTTGCTGTGTTACCGACTTGACTGATTGACTGCATGACCACGCACCCGCCCCCCCGGCCCAGCATGCAACGCTTGCTTGCCTCGGCATGGCGGCATAGTTGCCGCCTGGATTGTTGTACACCTGCTTTGACCCCTCCACTTGTTGCTGACCTGTGAGCTGTGAATGCACACGGCCACAACCACACCCATGTAAGAAAACGCAGCCTGCGGTTGAGCGCACGGATGGGCGTGCCGCGGAGAGTGCTGGGCCACCAGAGCAGCAGCTGCCGCAGAGAAGAAGTTCTGCTGCCACGGGCTGACAGCATGATGGTGAGGAGGCAGCCAGGTAGGGTATGTTGAGGCGGTTTGCCTGCTGGTATAAGCGGAAAAACAGGGCATGTCCCTCCAGGTCCATTGGGCGGCGGCGGCAGGAGCGGCGGCACATGGGGTCCAGGCACCAGGTCGGGGCGGCGCTCTGGCTGTTTCATTGCGATGCCTACGTGCCGCAGAGTGGCTCTGGATGTCTTCCGGGGCGCTGGAGCGCAAAAAACTGTGCCCTGTTCTGACCCAGCAGGACCCAGGAAAGATGGGCGATATCATGTCCAGAACTCTCAATTCCTGCGTCTTTGTCTCCTCCGCTCACTCCAGTCATCAGCCATGGCCTCCGCTCTGAAGATTCAGGCCGTGTTCGGCAAGGCGAAGGCCGCCCCCAAGAAGGCTGCGGCCAAGAAGAGCGGCACCGCCTCCACCAGCGGTGGCTGGTTGGGCAGCGGGTCAAAGACCATCAACCTGGACAAGTGGTGAGCAGGGAGGGGGCAGGGAGGGTGGATCGAGTGGTTAGGCGATGGGGCAGGGCGATGGCGTGCCCTCCCCGCCTTTGGCTGCCTCCGAAGCCTCGGTCCGTACTTGTGGGATCCATCGCCGAGCAATGTAGGCCCGGACAGCCCGTGTGGGGGCCGCGCCACTGGCGGCATATCCGCCGCCATATCGCGCTGCGCCGCCGCCTGCTGTGCTCGCCGCAAAGCTGAGAGTCGCCTGTGCCCTGCTGTTGTCCTGTGCAGGTATGGCCCCGACCGCGCCCTGTTCCTGCCCGGTGAGTCTTGTTGGGTGGTTGGAGTCCTTTGCGGCAGCACCAGCTGGAACAAGGAGGAGCCGCCGCATGCGGCCAGCAGCACTTCAGCCTGCAGCATGGGCACAGCTGCCCTCTCGCCTCTGCTGCCAACAGAGCCCGCCGCCTTGCTGACCAGGCCCCTGCCCCCGCGCCCGCCTTGCCCCCTCCCCGCAGGCGGCCTGATGGCGCGCGACGAGATCAACCCGCTGCTCAACGGCACCCTGCCCGGCGACTACGGCTACGACCCGCTGGGCCTGGCCAAGGACGCCGAGACCCTGAGCAAGTACCAGGCCAACGAGCTGCTGCACGCGCGGTGGGCCATGCTGGCGGCCGCTGGCGCCATCATCCCCGAGGGCCTGGCCGCCAACGGCGCCGACGTCAAGGGCGCCACCTGGTTCGAGACGGGCGCGGCCATGCTCAACGGCGGCACCCTCAACTGGTTTGCCGTGCCCATCGCCAACATCTCCAACCCGCTGCCCCTGTTTGTGGTGGTGGCGGCCAACGTGGCGCTGATGGGCGCCGCGGAGAACTACCGCCGCACCGGCGAGGGCCCCGCCGGCTACAGCCCCGGCGTCGGCAAGTTTGACGAGTCCGCCTACGACTCCATGGACTCCCTGTACCCAGGTGGGTTGGGTGGCTGGGGTGGGGTGGGGTGGCGCAGAGCGCCGGCGTTGGGCGCGCAGGGCGAGGCTGCGTGCGTGGCCGGCAGCAAGGGCTGGCGCCTCCCCCGCGCCATCTGTGTGCCGGCATCCGCTGCCTCTCTCCCTCTCACCCCCACCCATCCCTGGCAACCTGCCTGCCCGCAGGCGGCCCCTTCGACCCCCTGGGCCTGGCCGACGACCCCGAGGTGCTGGCCGAGCTCAAGGTCAAGGAGATCAAGAACGGCCGCCTGGCCATGGTCTCCTTCCTGGGCTTCGCCGTGCAGGCCGCCGTCACCGGCGAGGGTGAGCTGGTGGGGTGGCGGGGGAGGTGCCTGGCACGGGGCCTGCTGCGCGGCTTGCGTGGGCTGCCTGCATGCCGTGGGCTTGTGCTGCTGCATGTCGTGAGCGTGAGCTGCCCTGGCCGCCCCAGCCAAGACCCGGCGCGGCCCGGCGCCCATCCCACCCTGCGCTGATGTTGACCTCGCCCCGCCCCCGTCCCCCATCTGCTTCCCTTCCCCCGCAGGCCCTTACGCCAACTGGAGCAAGCATGTGGCAGATCCCTTTGGCTACAATCTGGTGAGAACAAAACGGTTGGGGAGGTGGCGGGAAGTCCTGGTCGGCTTAGTTGTAGTTGTTTTTGGGATTCGTATTTTGGTCGGCGTGCACGGGTTTCGGCCGCGACGCGCTGGTAACTACGAAAGCCAATGTACTTGACAATTACTTACTGCCTCTCCCACCCCGCTGCCCGCCCCTGCAGCTGACCATCCTGGCTGGCGAGGACCGCGCGCCCACCCTCTAGATGCCGCACCCCCGCTTGGTCCGCCGGCGCCCGCTTGATGGCGGCGCAGGTGTTGTAGCTTTTAGCTTGTCTCCCTTTGTTCTGCTTGTGCTTTCAGCATTTGGTTTGGTGCCCCGCCACTCGTCCCCAGAGAGGATAATTTTCAACTCCCACCTCGACACGATTATACTCGCATCCACCCCCAGCCGCGTATGCGCGCTGTAACACCACAGTAACCGTTCTTTGCTACTTCCTGGAAGCTAGAGAGGAGGGAGAGGCGGGGAGGGGAGGGTGTGTGGCGCCTGGAGCAGGGTGTTGGCGGACGAGACCGTGGGGCGGTTGGCGCTGGTCGGTGGCGACGGTGGTCAGGGCTCTGCCAGCTCCATGAGGCCTGGCCTCAGCAGCCGGGCCCAAATCCCTTCCTCGCGACTGGCTGCTTGTGGGTCAAAACCCGCTGTCCAACCAGCTGCTCCATGCACACGGCTTTTGAGCGGGGCGCCACAGGCAGCAGGAGGACAGGAGAGGGGGGCAGAGTGCAGCTGCCTTTTGGGGATCAAATCCAATCAAATGCACATTGGGCAGCGTGGAGGGCTTGTCGTGGCTCCAGAATTGATGCTGCTGATGGTGTTGTTACAGCTTCCCTGCCAGCTTCCCCGCTGGTGCCGAGGGTACAGCGCTGTACAGCTGCCCTGGGCCCTTTTGAAAGTGTGTCAGGCGCCAGCCTTCGCTGCTGCCCGCGCAGTCTCTGTGGGGTAGCGCAGCGCAACTGGCGTGACCAGGGATCTGGTTGCGATGGTGTGCCCCGCGGCCCTGCTCAAACTTGTGCTGGTGGTGCTGTTTGCGCTAGTGGGTAAGCGTTTGCGCAGCGCGGTGTCGAGCAGCCAGCGCTGCCGAGCCTTCGGCCGCCAGTGCTCTTCTCTACCACCGCAACTCCCGACACCGCCTTGTGCCGCCACGCACACTTCACCGCCTTTGCTAAATCATTGTAGGTGCCTCGTATGCGGCTCCCCCTTCCCCAAAGCCACCGCGTCCAAAGCCTCCCCGTCCACCAACTCCCCCAAGGCCCAAACCTCCTCCACGCCCCCGTCCTCCACCTCGTCCCAAACCCCCAAAGCCACCTAGGCCACCTTCACCCCGTCCTCCTCCCTCCCCAAAGCCAAAGAAATCGCCCCCACCACGCCCCCGCCCTCCAAAGCCCCCTCCGCCGCGCCCACCGCCTCCCAAGCCGCCCAGGCCACCACCGCCGAAGCCTCCTAGACCGCCACCTCGCCCACCTCCCCGGCCCCGGCCGCGGCCGCCACCTGCCTGCGCCGCCCTCAACACCTTTTGCGACGTGAACCCAGACTGCTGCAGCACGGCATGCAATCCCACCAACAAAAAATGCGTGAGTTTCCTGGGCGGCATGGGCTGCACTGTGGATGCCAAGCTCGGACACACTGACCGGGCGCTTGCGGTCCCCGCTATTCTGCTTTGCAGTGCGTGCCCGACGCCGTGCCGGCCAGCGGCATCTCGTCGCTCAACTACACCAAGATCGCAGGCCTGCAGAAATGCGTGACCGAGTGAGTGGCATGGCAGCCTGCTACAGGGTGTTGCGGTGCTGAATGATGCTCCCAGCATGAAATGCACCAGAGCAGCGCGTGGCGCTAGCCAGCTGGCCCAACACCACCTCTTTCCCGCAACTCACCTGGCAACACCTGCCTGCTGCAGCTTTGACTGCTGCTCAGGGCACTGCATCACCATCGGCGGCATCAAGGGCTGCCTGCCCTGCGGTGAGGAGGGCTTGCGCTGCCGGAGGCAAAGGACAGCCTGCATAGCGCCGGCAATGGAGCTCACCGTCTCACCCTGTGCCCCACGCTCCCCACCCCTACCCCACCCATGCCAGTGCCGGTGCCTCTGGTCAAGTGCGTGTCGGACTTCGATTGCTGCTTCGGGGCCAAGTGCAACCTGCAAAACACCAAGTGCTGCCTGGCCAATGGCCAGGCCTGCGTCAAGCAGGTCAACCTCACACAGCCCGTCACGCCCGGCGAGCTGTGCTGCTCCGGCCAGTGCGACTCCGCCAGCAACACCTGCTCCAACGTGAGTGTGTGTGGCGCTGCCCGGGGCCGCGAGGCGCGGTGGTGGTCAGTGTCCCAGGAAGCTATCCCACATCCTGGACAGCTGAGTGGGCTTGGCGCGGCTGAGTGTGCAGCCCCTTTCCCCTAATCTCCCGAACTCCACGTGCAGTGCATCGGCGTCGGCAGCACGGGCTGCACCACAGACGCGCAGTGCTGTAACAAATCGAGCTGCGTGTCCTCGCGGTGCTGCGTCAAGGCGGGCGGCGCATGCATCACTGGCATCGAAAACTCAGACTGGTGAGAGCCTGGGAGGATGCATGAGCCTCGGCGGCCTGCTGTCACTTGCATGCAGCTACACGCGCACACACCGCCTTTGACTGTGGTCCTGGCTGCAGCTGCTCCAAGGACTGCAAGGCGGGGATCTGTCAGTAGCCTGGACGGACCGAGGCCCAACCCACAAATTCCCTTCCCCGCACAGTGCATTCCATGCGTTCAGTTCAGCCAGACCAGTCAGCTTCTTTTGCCGGCAACCGCCTTACAGCTTGCTCCCGCCCTCCACCTCCCTGCATGAGGTCTGCGGCTGTATGAATGTGGCATTGACAAATCCCCTTGTAAAAGGCCACGGCCAGTACTCTTGCAGCGTGGACAGGGGGGAGAAGTCCAGCTAGGGATGGGCCCCCATGGTGCACGGCACAAATTGGTGCTCAGATCGGCCCCATGCCGGAGACACGGCGGGTCGACCCCTTGCTTTCTCGCTATTTTTCAGCCTTTCTGGCGGCCACAGAGATATTTCGGTCCCACCGACACGACGATAGGCGCCTCAGTGGAACTCACGCACAATTCGCGACCGCGATGCTCGCCTGCGGGCTGCAGCAGGGCCTCCAGGCGTGCGTCTGCACGAGCCTGCTGCCGCAGGCAGTGCGCCTGGCCGCTTGGCTGCAGCACGGTCGGCGCGGCGCCACCACCGCCGACGCCGCCCCTGGCACCGTTGCCAGCGACGCCACTGCGTATGCCTCGGCTGCCCCAATGGCCACCATTCACATCAACGGCCACACCGTGTCAGTCCCCGAGGGCACCAGCATCCTGACGGCAGCCACGCAGCTCGGCATCCATGTGCGCACCTCGCCACCGCCCGCCGCTGCAACCCCTTTGCATCGGCCCTCACACCCCCGGTGCACCCCTGCCCGCAGATCCCCACCCTGTGCACCCACCCGCGCCTGCCCACCACCCCGGGCACCTGCCGCCTGTGCCTGGTTGAGGTTGCAGGCGGCGCGCTGAAGCCCGCCTGCGCCACCCCCGTGTGCCATGGCCTGGAGGTGACCACCGACTCACCACAGGTCAAGGACAGCATCCGCGGCGTGCTGGCGCTGCTCAAGGCCAACCACCCCGCGGACTGCATGACGTGCGATGTCTCGGGGCGCTGCGAGTTCCAGGCAAGGCCGGGCTTTTGGGGAGGGGCATGGGCTGGGTGGGCAGGCTTGCCGTCGCGGCACTGCTGAGGCCTGCCGCCCTGCCCGTCCCCCACCTGCCTGGCCCCACCCCTGCAGGACCTGACCCTGCGGTACAATGTGGATGGCTACATGGCCAAGCATGCGCTGCCCAAGCTGCGCCAATACAGGTTGGTGGCGGCCCCCGCACGCTTCCCTGCTCTGTCGGGACACCCCGCCATACGCGCCCGCCATACTCCTCCTTCTGGTGTGCCAATCACGCCATCCCGCTGCCGTCCTTCCAGCCACGAGTGGGAGGAGGAGGTGGAGGGCGCAGGTGGCGAGCTCCACCCCTCCTCCACCGCCTCCATCACCATCGACTTCGAAAAGTGGGCTCACTGAACCTGGCAGGCGATTCCTTTGCAGGGGTGGCTGCCGGCCTTGCGGCCGTGTGTGCCTGGGGAGGCGAGGCAGCGCATGGCCTGCCCCCGGCAGCGACCAATGCTGCCCATGCTGGGATGCAGGTGCCTCAAGTGCGGGCGCTGCGTCACGGCGTGCGGCCTGGTGCAGGTGGGTGCAGAGCTGTCGCACGCTCCACCGCCTCCATGAGGCTGCCAGGATCGAATGAGGCAGACCTGGGGCTGGGGCTGCACATCCCCCGAGGGCCACCCAGGGCCTCCCACGCCTGCCAGCCTGCCCCACCACACCGTGCCCTGGCAGGAGATGGATGTGCTGGGCATGAAGGGGAGGTCCCGCGAGCGCCACCCTGCGGTGCTCACAGAGGCGATGGACCTCAGCAAGTGCATCTCATGCGGCCAGGTGGGGCCATTCTTGGGGTGCCCCCCTTGGTGCCTCCCTTCTCCACCATCTGCACCTCCCCTCCCGCCTGCCACAAAGCGCGCTGTCCCCGCTGAGGATGATCATGCCCGCTGCTGTCCGCTGCGCTTGCAGTGTGCTGTGATGTGCCCTGTGGGCGCCATCACCGAGCGAGCCGAGTGGCGGGAGGTGGAGGATCAGCTGGATGCCAAGCGCAAGGCAGGGAGGGGGGCGGGGAGGGCAGGGGTCAGCGGGGACACGCAGCTGGCAGCAGGCCGTCCCGTGGCCGGCAGGGGGTGGCATCTGGCCTGCCTGCCCCCCTTCCTCCGGCTACTTCCTCAGGCCGGGGTGCACCCCTGCCGAGTCACCCTCCCTTCATTCTTCCCTGCCCTGCCCCCATCACCACCACCGCTGCAGCTCATGGTGTGCGTCACAGCCCCAGCCGTGAGGGTGGCCATAGGCGAGGAGCTGGGCCTGGCGCCCGGAACCATCACCACCGGCCAGATGGTGGCGGCACAGAGGCAGCTGGGTGAGCTCGCCAGCCTCCGGCTCATCTCCAGCCAGACAGCAGCACAGCGTGCCCGTGGCTGCACCCGTCCACCCGCTGCCTTGCGGTGGCGGCACCTGCGCTGCTACAGACCGCCAGAGAGCCACACCCTGCACGTCGCCATGACCTTCACCCTGCCTGCGCCTGCCGCTGCTGCCCTTCCAGGGTTTGATTATGTTTTCGATGTCAACTTCGGCGGTGAGCCTGCATGGGGGGGCAGCAAGCAGCCCTACCAACCTGCAGCTGCCATGCATGGAGGCGGCCTTCCCCCTGCCTGTGTCATGCCCCTTGGCACCTCCATGCCTGCCTGCCTGCCTGCCTTCCTTTCCACCCAGCCGACCTCACCATCATGGAGGAGGGCACAGAGCTGCTGCAACGCCTGCGCCACGCCTGGGGCCTGGACCTGCCCGCCGAGGGGAGCGGCGGCGCCGGCGCTGGTGGCGGCAGGAGCGCGGGCGCCCAGGAGGAGCAGCAGGGGCAGGGGCAGGGGCGGGGGCACCACAGCGCCCCAGGCCCGCTGCCCATGTTCACCAGCTGCTGCCCCGGCTGGGTGACGGCCTGCGAGAAGAGCTTCCCCGAGCTGCTGCCGCACCTGTCCACCTGCAAGAGCCCGCAGCAGATGATGGGGGCGGTGGTGAAGAGCCACTTTGCGGCCAAGCTGGGCAAGCGCGCACAAGACATCTGCCTGGTGGGTGCCACCAGTGGTTGGCACCTCCCTCTGGATCTCGACATTACCCTGCTCCCCCGCCTGCCGGCCTTGGCCCCGCCTCTTTTTCTCTCACGCCTTGTCCCTGCCTCCCTGCCTGCCTGCATTGCCCTGCCCTGCTGCCTTACAAGCGCCTGCCCCCCTCCTGCACACCCGCGTGTGCCCTACAGGTCAGCGTGATGCCCTGCACGGCCAAGAAGTATGAGGCTGAGCGCGGGGAGATGGTGCGGGAGGGGGAGGGGCCTGACGTTGGTGAGTGAGGGCCTGGGGTGTGAGCCAGGTGGCAGGGGAGCCCAGCAGGCACAGCGTCCCCTGCTGGCATGGGGGGCTCGCCTAGTTGCCTAGCGGCTGCTGCTGCTGCTCTGGGTGGCTTGCTTGGCCTGCAGGACGCTTGGCCCGAGTTGCGCTGACGAGTCCTTTCCTCTGCTGTTCCAGATTATGTCATTACAACCCGCGAGTTTGGGCGCCTGCTGCGGTGGGGCACTCCTGGCCTGAACCTCATGACACTTGCCATCCCTGCACCGCATGCTGTGGCCAGCAGACCCCTGCTGGTGCTGATGCTGCTGGCGTGTGCAGGGAGCGCCACATCCCTCTCGCCTCGCTGCCCGAGTCGGCGTTTGACAACCCCCTGGGAGAAGGGAGCGGGGCCGGCGTGATTTTCGGGAACACTGGCGGCGTGATGGAGGCGGCCCTGCGCACCGCATACGAGCTGGCGGCAGGTGGGGAGGTGCCCCGCGGGCTGTGTGGCGATGCGGCTGCCACGGCTTGGCTACGCTGCGGCAATGCATTGCACAAATGGTGCCCGCCCACCACCCTGGCCAGGCATCCCTCCCTACATGTAGAGTCGGGCCCTGCGCTTCACTGTGCAGGCCAGCCGCTTCCCAAGCTGGAGGAGGAGGCGATCCGCGGGCTGCGGGGCATCAAGCAGGCCACCGTCACGCTGCCGCCCACCGCGCCCGCCGGCATGGCCAGCCGCCAGCTGCGCGTGGCTGTGGCCAGCGGCATCGGCCAGGCGAGGCACCTGCTGGAGCGCATGCACACTGGACATTCACCGCACTTTGATTTCGTCGAGGTGGGTGGGAGGTGGCATGGCGTGGGATGGGACGCAGGCTGGCTGACGGGGCGGGGAAGTCAACTGGCAAGCTCTGAGCTGTGCCAACCCATGAGGAGCAGGTCATGGCCTGCCCTGGCGGCTGTGTCGGTGGCGGCGGCCAGCCCAAGAGCGCCGACCCGCTGGTGCTGCTCAAGCGCATGGGCGCAGGTGGGTGGGTGTGGGCCGTGTGTGAGCGGGCCAGGCCACTGGGTGCTTCTGTGGATCGGGCGCCCAGGCTGGGCGCTAGCGCTGCGGTTTGGCCGGGCGACATGCGAGGCGGGCAAGGGAGAGAGTTGCTCGGAGCCCGGCGGCTCCCTGCCCGGCCCGCTCACCTGCCCCCTGCAGTGTACTCCATCGACGAGCGCTCAGCCATCCGCAAGAGCCACGAGAACCCCTCCATACAGAAGCTATACAAGGCGTGTGCGGTGGATGGCGCAGGGCTGCACCTGGGGCTGCCTTGGTGCAACTGCAGGTGACGCGGGAGCCCCCTCACCAGCTGCGCATGCCCTGCCCGCTCCTGCAGGAGTTTTTGGGCGAGCCGGGCGGCTCGCTGTCCCACCAGCTGCTCCACACAACCTACATCAACCGCAGCACCGCCTCGCAGCCCACCTACACCGCCTTTCAGCGCATGGACGAGCCGTGCAACCCCAAGCTGCAGCAGGCGGCGGCAGCGGGCAGGGGCAGCTCCAGCAGCGCTCTGCCCGGCACCAGCGCCTGACAAAAGCGCTGGCGCACACTGAAGCTGCGATACCTTCCTCCCCTCTCGCGGTTCCCCCTGGCTCGCCTGGTGTGTAGCAAGCGACTGATTTGGCGGCAAAGAACGATGCGGGTGTTACAGCGCGCATGTGCGGCCAGAACATTCATCAGACATGTGGGCATGCAAACACATGGGAGTGGAAGCCTTCCCGAGGAAAGCGAGCACGGGGAAATCGGGGGTGTTCAGTGCCACCACATCGGGAAGGATGCGCGGCGGGGTGGAAGGAGGACTCCTCCTTTTAGACGGGTGGATGTGATTTGCCTGATGAGGGAAATAGACAGGGGCGGCTGCAAGCGTGCTGCTGAGCATCGGCAGCGTCGCCGTCACACAGCTGCCCTGCTAGTAAATTGCAGCTGTAAGCCACACATGCCATGGCCTCTACATCTTGCGGCTGAGCCTCTTAGGCTTGAGCGATGGGCGCGGGCGCGGCGGGGGCCGTGGCTTCGGGCGTGGCGGAGGCCGCGGGCGAGGCGGCTTGGGAGAGGGAGGCCGGGGGCGAGGCGGCTTGGGAGAGGGTGGTCTGGGGCGCGGAGGCTTGGGAGAGGGAGGCCGGGGGCGAGGCGGTTTCGGGCGCGGAGGTGGCTTTGGCTTAGGTGGTGAAGGTGGCTTTGGTGGGCGAGGGCGGGGCGGCGGTTTCGGCAGGCGAGGTCGGGGCGGCGGTTTCGGTTTGGGGGAAGGAGGTTTGGGAGGAGAAGGTGGAGGCGTGGGATCGAAGAGCCAGACTGGATCGAAGTGGCCCGACAGACCGGTGATGCTCTTGTCGGTTGCATTGACGGAGACAGCGATAAGAGGGAACAGCTCGGTGGTGGTCTTCTGGCCCCGTGCCACAAGCGCATTTCGTAGCGCAGCCTTAGTGAAATCTGCACCTCAGGCAGGAGGGGCAGGCTTGGTGGGTGCATTGCTGGTGGCAGGGCATTGAAGGGGCAATCGTAGGCCAGGGTTGCCCTACTGGTGCATCGCAGCTGGGCAGGCCAGCAGGCAGGCAAGCTACCCCCTCTTTCCGGCTGCATCTGTTCAACCCTGGCTGTGTTTGGCGCTTGCGCCGCAGCCCCGGGGCCCGCTGGACTCACAGTTGACGTCGCCGCCGACGTTGGCGGCGGCCCAGTCCACCGGTAGCTTGAGCGCGACGTGGAAGCCGGAGGCGTTCTTGTAGGCCAGAGCCAGGTAGGCAGACTTGTTGAGGTCGTCTGCGGCAGAGGGCCCAGGAGGTGGGTTCATTGCGAGGGGCGGCATGAGGGCCTTCATGCAGCCATGTGCAGCCAGCGCCCCCACCGTGCAGCCGCCGCACCCAGCGTTCGCGCTGGCGGCACCTCACCACGCCCCTCCCACCTGTGACAAAGATGTTGTAGAGGAAGCTGCCGTCCTCGGTGTCCACTATCGACAGCGTGAACTGGGTGGCGGGGGAGTTGGCAAAGGCGGGCCATTTGAGGTCCTTGGGCACGCCAAAGGAGAAGGTGGCGTTGCCCACAATGTCGGCAAGGAAGAAAGTGTCGTCGGTGGGCGGCAGCTCCGGCTCTTCCACAGGATCGCTGAACCGCGCCGCCAGCGAGCCGCCGAGGGTGGTGACCACCAGCCACCTGCAGCAGCCAGGCCGACCAGCGTGGAGCTACATCAGGGTTTGGCGTGCTGCGCTAGGGCGACGCTGGCAGTCGCAGGCAGGCAGGGTGCAAGCACCGGGCTGCCTTGCTCACAGCTTGTTGGTCTCATTCAGCTGGCCAGGCAGGTCCGGCAGGTCCAGCTGCAGCACGGCGTCGTTGAGCGTGTACCAGTTGAGGGCTGCAAAGCAGGGGCACACCGGGGGTGAGAGGTGGGTAGAGGGTGGGCGGCATTGGCAGAGTGTGTTTTTGAGTGATGCGGGGCTGGCTTGTGCGATGGAAGGGTGGGGTGCCAACAGGCACGCCAGGTGCGCCGCCCGCGACTCACTGCCATAGGGAGGGTCTTCGCCAGTGAAGTTGTACCCATCTCCGGCCAGGGTGAGCAGGAAGTTGTAGAAGCCGTCGGTTTCGTAGTACAGATCGAAGGAGGTGGGCTGGAGGGCCTTTGAGGCTGCAGGTGGCACGACCGCAGTTCAAGCAGTTCACGCTTTGGGGAGGCGTGCCGCGCCAGTTGGGCTGCTGCATGCCCCGCCCTGGCGGGTGATGGGCCCACTCACCGGCATCCAGGGTCAAGTCCCACTGGTACTCCCCGTTGTCGTCATACGTGAAGGTTGCAAAGATCTTGGGGCCGACAGGGGCCTGCAACACAGGCGCAACAGGCGGGTGCCGGTGGACGTCGGCGGGAGGGTTGTCGGCCAGCGTTGTGCACTGCGCCCCAGAGGCGGGGAGTCTATGTTGCAAGCTAGTTCTTGCTTCACTAGACTTTAAGCCCACACAAGCAAGCAAGGCTGGCTGCCTGGCGGCATGATCGATGGCACAAGCAAGCCTGCTGCCTGCTGGCCGCCCCAGCCCACCTTTTCCAACACAGACTCGTCCGGCACACGGTCTCCCTGGAGCTGTGCCACATACCCATAGCCCACCAAGGGGAAGGTTGGCGGGGCCTGCACGGGAGGCATGCCGAAACACAGACAGCAGACAGGCAGTCAGGGTAAAGGTGAGCCTTGCCTGCCAAAGGTGGGCGCTCTGCATGTGTGGCTGAACTGGCCATGCGCATTGCAGCAGAGCGGAGAGCAGCCATGGCGGCGTGCCCCCTGGGGGTCTCGCGCTTGTTCCCACCTTGGGGGGTGGCGGCGGCGGCGAGGCAGGAGGTGTGGGGTCGAAGTTCCACACTGGGACAAAGTGGCCTGAGATGCCGTAGGTGGTGGTCGCGTTGGAGGAGAGGATGATGAGAGGGAACAGCTCGGTGACAACCAGCTGGCCCTGTGACACCAAGCCGTCCAGCAGCGCCTGCTTGGAGAAGTCTGCAGCGGGGAAGAGAGGGCTCAGGGGGGTGGGCATCCAGGCAAGAGTCGGGGCAACATCAGAGTGCGACACTCAATGCATACAGCCGCGCGGGCGGCGAGATGGCCGGCCCGTGCTGCATGGCCTGGCACGCGTGGCCTTCGCACTCACTTCCTTGCGAGCCGCCGTTGCTGGCATCTGCCCAGTCGAAGTCGTTGAGGGTGATGGCGGTCTTGATGGCGTCATCCTTGACAAACACCAGGGACACCGACTGGGAGGTGTTCAGGTTGTCTGCAGCAGGAGGCAGAGGGTGGGTGTGGGGCACGACAGTGGGAGGCTGCCCTCAGAGAGTGGGAGGCTGCCCTCAGCGCACTGCAGCGCAGTGCAACCAAGGGGATCCACAGGCTCCGCACCCCAGCAGGCCGCTGGACCACCTGTGACAAAGATGTTGTAGAGGAAGCTGCCGTCCTCGGAGTCCACCACCGACAGCGTGAACTGGGTGGAGGCGTTGCGGGGCAGCTGGGTGGCCAGGTGATGTCCTGGGTGACGC